AGCAATAATATTTAACTTTTGAGACTTTCTCTGCGCGTTAAAGGGGAAATAATATTGCCTGCGGATAACTGGTTCTTTTGCAAAGGTCAGTAATATATATATAATCCTAGATTATGTTGACTGCAACATGCATTGGTCGGACTCGAACTTATTTTCTTACACCAATCATTTACATATAAAGGCACAAGCTGCTTTTTGAAAGTGCTGCAAAAGCTAATTAATTATGTCGTTTTTTTAATGCACATATTGATCCCACCAAGATTGACTATTCGGATGCAACCCCTTAGCTCCCCACAGATTACTCCACTATTAAGGTTGTTCAATCGTTTCTGACCAGAAAAAAAAAAAAAAAAGGTTGTTCAATCGTTAATATTCTTCAAGACTGACCCCAGAAAAAAAAAAATCACACGTCAGGGTTACACATATATGCATAAGAGAGGCAAATAAAACACATTAAAAGAAGGGAAAAAGAAAGGCTATATGCTGCGAAATTTCACGTGGGACAAGAAAATAGTAGTTTTGAAATGGAAAGAAAGTCGTAGTTTAGGTGAGAAGAAATTGAAAGATTGATGAGGGGAATGGACCCTACAATATACATACACATACAGCGTTGAAATTAATTATAACTAGCTACTTTGGTGAAATTGACAAATTGAAAAAAATATACATACATCGCTTTGACAACGAAGAGAGAAATCTCTAGCTTGGCGAGGGTCAAGAGCAATTAAAATAATCACGAGGAAGCGAGAGATTTTTACAACTGTCAATTAGGAGTTCTCACATGATCTCCGACCGTACAATCCAGGGACCATTTGGCATCTGTACACATTATGTGATTTTATTTCAACTCACAGAGACAAGTAGCCTGTCAATAGCAACATTGTTGATAATTCTCTAATTTTTCTTTTTCTCCTTTGGAACCATACAAAGTCTTTCTAATAACTTTAAACTGAAAGAATACTCCAGATGTTCTGAATCATTTCGACTCGTAAAACCAGGTATATATTATATTTTCTCCTTCCTCTACTAATTCTCTGTCTCCTTCGTTCCTACTTTTGTTTTGTGGCTTAGATACGTGTTTGCACATGCGTTCAATAGTGTTGGAAGCGAAGAATGAAGGAGAACCAACACCATAAATGATACCAAAGTCCATTCGCTGGCTTTTTGTTATTTGATTTCTTCGCACTCTTTTGGGAAAAGCCTGCTCATGCTGCGATTAGATCATGTTCCTCCTCCTCCTGTTTGTGGTTTTCTTCCTCATCTTCCTCTCCTCATCTTCCTTTTAGGTGTGTTCCCGACCATATAGCTAGGTCCGTGAAATTTCTTTTCTTTCTCGTTCTAGCTAGATGGTTCTTCTGCAACACTACTACTTAATGGAATACTGAAATTAATTAGCTACCAAGCTACTTGATATATAATTAACTTGTCTCAGATAGCCACTTTTTGAATTTGTGATTCAAGTCCCACATATTTATCTTTCCTAACAAAGTAAACTTTTTCCTCGATTTCTTTCTGGTCTGGATTGCATTGCTTACCCCAGGTGCCTTGTGCAGATTTTCCACTGAAACGGTGAATAAAATCATAGACCCCTGATTCCTTCCCTATTTGCTATTTTCAGTCCACATATATAAAAGATCTTTTATGTTGATGAATGACTATCTCTCTCCCGATTGCTTAATTATGGTATTTTCTTCGAATTATGAATCATTATTGTGTATGGTCAACAAACCTTGTATGCATGTCTACATGTGTGTGTGTGTGTGTGTGTGTGTGGCCGCTGAGAGAAATCAGAATCTGCCACACATATATTGCACCCGATTCCAAATTTTAGCAGAAGCTTCCAGCTAGGGTTACAGAAGTTGGTTTGCCTTCTTTATATACTAGAATTCTTAATCTTTAAATGGCTCAACCACTGCTTTTTGTGAGGTTAAATGATATAATTGCACACGTATATGTAATAGGGATATTCAGTAAATGTCCCCCATCTACTTGTAGCATTTCGCATACAAGAATATTGAATGCACTTAAAAAGTATTCAAGTTCACGATTGCCATCAGAGCTACAATACTAATAATTCTTCATGCTAAACGTAAAAACTACAGCCTGTGCGTCTCTACTCTGTCCTACACTTTGCCAACTTTCAATGCAGAGATTTATGTTCTTGTAAATATAATCTTCTGTGTCTCCCAGTGATATGCTAAGAGGAGGGAAGCCCCGAGGGTGATCTGTTGAGAATTATTACAGAATAATAAGAATGTCATCAGAAGGATTCCAGATCCAAGACAAGAAGAACAGCAGGTGTACTGATGAGGAACAGGTAGCCCAGGACACATCATTGGGATCTTCTCAGACAGGCTCGTCCTTTGATTTGAATGAAGGAGCGAGCATAGAAGACAACAACGAAACAGACGACTGTGATATCATCATGGCTGAGGAGAATGATGATGATGATGATGAGAAAGCAAAGGATAGTAATGAAGAAGGTGCTTCAACTAATTATAGAAGCACATCGAGGGAAGGGAACGGAAAAAGAAGAACGGTGAGACAGTATGTTAGATCAAAGATGCCTCGCCTTCGATGGACTCCTGAACTTCATCTCTCGTTTGTTCAAGCTGTTGAAAGGCTTGGTGGTCAAGAGAGTAAGTACGATCTCATCAATTCATTTTAAGACAAAGAAAATAGGTGCGCGTGTAGTTTTTTATTGACTGTATATATATGACATCCTCGTCGTCTTCCATCGAATCTGATAACAGATAAATACTTAATTAAGGATTTGTATATTCTAATTAAATCTTGCAGCTATCTCTATACAGTGTACGTGAAAAAGCAACCTTCGTCGTAATTGTAAATTGTTTATGAAACTTATTACGTTTCTGCATAAATTTGTGCAGGAGCCACACCAAAGTTGGTGCTTCAGCTAATGAATGTGAGAGGGCTTAGCATTGCTCATGTCAAGAGTCACTTGCAGGTATATAACACAAATTACAAAAGTTTTCCTTTAGATGATTTGAGCTAGTTTCGTCCAAAATACATAATTAAGAAAGAGCTATCTATCTTTTTGAATCAGCTTTGCCTTAATTTGAAAATTTTCTTCTTGTTTTTTTTTTTGGTTAATTCTTTTCGTCGTAGTGATTCTATGTTTATGAAATTTAATTTGTTTCAGATGTATCGAAGCAAGAAACTTGATGAGGCCGGGCAAGGTGAGATTGTCGTGTACATATCCTTTTCCATTTTAGGCCAAACAAATCAAAGTTTCCTTTCTATTGCTTTTTATTTTTACGTACATTTTAACAGAAATATCCCGTGCAGGAGTTTCCTGCTTCTTATTATTTCCAAATTACCGAGTTCACCTACATTAAGCTTTTTGATGAACTACTCCGTCTGTCCTTTATACAAGATGTTATTGACATTTTTCATATATATATATTAAGAAAAGTTGTCAGACTATCTGATTGGTTAAAAAACATACCAATATTCCAATTATAAAGTTATTAGTTAAAAGGAAGACCGCGTTATGTTTTCTCATCTTACAAGAGAAAGCAAGTAAAATTATATTACATAAACTAGGAATATATTGCATTATGCAGTTGTTGGACGAAGATACAGATCACCATCAACCCAAATGGAAGGTCTTATGTCTCAGATATCGCATTATCATCAGTCTCGAAACGCTCATCACCAATATTTGAAGATGGGAAACGGGGGAATCATCCTGGCCAGTAATAATTGTAATGACCAAACTAGCGTCGTCGGCCCAGGTCTCTATCTGCCCTCCTTCGCCCTATCTTCACGTCCACACACAAAGCCTCCTGATGATTCCTGGTACGTATAGTAAAGTAACTTAAACATTGGTTCATATATAAAGGATTTTTAGTCTATTGATCCATCAGTTCTACGCACGTTAATTAGCTCTTGTTGTTGTCTTGAGATGTGGCAGGCAGCAATCACATCAATGGCACTTGGATCATCAACCTATGAATCTGCAAGAAAAAAGGTGGCCTCCATTAGAGATGATGAACGCTCATCAATGGAAGTTCAGAAGGTTACCCACCAATCATCACGCTGCTTGGAGTAATGCCAGCTCAAAACCAGATCCTCCACATCATTCAAACTTCAACCACTACTCTCACAATCACAGTAACCATTGCAATAACTTTGAAACCCCGTTTCGGATCCAGGTAACAATAATATAAATATTATATATATATATATATTGAGATCTCTATCTTCTTCTTGTTTTGGAAAACTGGAGCATTATTGATTTTATGATATGGTGTGAAGCTTAACGAAGCGATGCTGCGGGAAGAAAAACAATGGGTGCCTGATGATTTGCAGTTGGAGCTGAGTCTGGGAGGTGGCAAAGACGACATCCAAGAAATTAGCACTGAGCTTTCACTTTCTTAGAACTTCTCTCTATTATTTATTTATTTTTAACACTTGCAAATACCCCCTACATGGAAATCAAAATCATAAACCCGGGCCCACGTGTCAGCCACAAGATCAAAGTATGCGCTTGGTAGAGCAGATAGGACTTTTAATTTGTTTCAGTTATATTGTTGTTAAGTGGGATTTTTTACTGTAAATGAAATGGAACAATGGTTAAGAGTGACTTCCCCTGAGCGCTAGCTAGCAGCTGCCGGTAGTGCCATTTTCTCATAACTATTTATTTTACCATATATATTGAAGGAATTAAGTTGGCAATGGCCAAAAAGCCAAAATAAATGAATTTTTGAAGGAAAGGTGGATCAATCTCATAATTAATTAGGTGGTTTATACTTTTAATTTCAAATATCTAAATTAAAAATAATATATGTATATCTATTACAACGACCAAATTGCTGGAGTATGATAAATGCACTACTTGAAACAAAATGATGTTTAAGCAAATTTTGAGAAGAGTTAGACCAATCCGTTTTTCTTTAATCAAAATACGAGGTGTATATATATTTATATATATATATATTCTCCTAAAATTTAAAAGTTGGACGCGCGACCTAATTCTCTTAATTGTAAGCTGGGGCATAAATTTCTTAATTTAAGTTCATAAATCTGATTATTTGGGGTGCGAATTTTTAATATAATCTTATGAGCAAAAATAATAAAGTAAAACTAAATATTGCAAATAAGAATCAAAGATGTTGGTTAAAAAAAAAATTCTAAGATACAGCAAGTCTGTTATAATATGATGCCAAAATAACCCAATAAGTTCAAAGACAAGATGAAAACCGCCCTTTTTAAATTGCAATTGCCCATCAAGATCATCTACTTTAACTATGAAATTTTGTAATACCTGATGATGTCAAGATGGGTCGGGTTAGGCAATTAAATGGCTATCTAATTGATGCTTAGGGAGTGTTTAGATGGAAATCAAACCCTGGTTTTAAAAATACTTTTACGGTTTACGAAGTAAATATATGAACGAGTTTGTCTCGTTTTACTGAAAAAGCTTTTTAAAAGCATTTTTTAGGGTTGCCAAACACCCCCTTAATACAATGAAATTGATAGTAGAGGGGCACTACAAATGCTATTAGGAAAAAATGCAAATGGAGTTCGAGAAACAAATTATTCATAGAATTTCTTACCATCTGATTTATGTAATATATGTTCTCTTGAGACCGACACTCAACCTCTTTGTTTTGTACCTTTGTGAATTTAATTATTTTAATGACACAATAATTGTGACTGCACCTTTCACATTTCTTTCGAACTAAACATTGATATTTTATCAGGAAGAATAACATTGTGGGTAGTTTTACTAAAAAAAATTTATGTGAAATCAATATTTAGTAAAGCCGTTGACATTAGATACTTAAATCTTATATTTTATTGTCCAAATCATATATAAGAAAAATCATATTTTCAAAAATTAATAACAAAAGATGAATTTTCATAAATTATTTTTCAGTAGTATCAACTATTTTAACATGTGTCATCCTGTGCACATCGCATAGCGTGGAGAAGGTTCTAGTATTATATAAAAATATAACATATAAAATTCATAATTATAAACAATGCCTCTATTCATAATTATAATTATAATTACGCCCTGTCCCTAAGCACCATGTCTATGTATGTATTCATATTTCTATATATTATGTGATGGCACATTATTTTTAGGAAAATTTCTCATAAATATTTGTTTGGAGAATTAGTTGCCCAATAATCTCTTAAATTTGAAAAATGTTGCAAGGGATCCCGATATATGAATACATACAATATCAAATTCAGGAATGATTGAGTAATTAATTCTCTAAATTAAATTGGTAACAAAAAAATTAATTCTCTAAATTGGTAGTTATAGTTAAATTTCTCTTATTTTTCTCCGCATTTCTCTTCCCTCCTTTCTCCTTTAATTTTCGGCTTTTGGAATTTTTCCCTCCGCCCCCACTCGCACTCCCAACCGTTACCCATCATATCACATCAATATTAGATATTTCAAAAGAAAATCTAAAAAAAATAGCTGTTAAATTTTAAAATTTTAAAATAGAAATTATTAGAAAAATATGTTATCATTTGTTTTTTGAGTGTAGTCATTTTCTTTTTATGAGTATAGTAGCCTGATTGGAAATTTTGAAATTCAACATTCTTTCTTTAAAATTTTCCCTATTTCATATCTCAATTCTCAACAATTCTTTTTCTCCCACGTTATAACTTTCATTTACGGTGTGAATCGATATCAACTGAGTATTATATATCTGAATTGAGGCATAATATTCATAAATTATTGTTTCTAAAAAAATTATATAGAGATTTTTTTTTTATCAGGACTGTTAGAGATACTTAACATAATCACCTTATTGTGAACATAAACGAGAATTCAAATTTTGGATGTCATGTGGCGAAGTAATGCCTTCCGATAATTAAGATAAGGGAAAAAGACAGAAAAATGCACCTTTAATTTCAGAAGCCCAGAAACGTCCGCTGAATTCAAGAAATCCCATTTTGGTACCATGAGACCAAATTGGGATTAATATGTAAAAAGAAAAGACCAAATTGCCCTTCATTTTAAATATTATTTTTAAATATCACAGCCCCTACTGGCCGGCCGGTCACCGGAGCTCCGGCGGAGGCGGTCACCGGAGCTCCGGCGACCAGCCGACACTTGGTCACCGGAGCTCCATCGGTCGGATTTTTTTTTTTTTTGAAAATTTGTACAACTTCAATATAACGTTAACAACTTTTGTAATGCTATTAACAACTTCAATATAGCAATTAACAACAGCTTTATGGGAAATTCAACAAACTCCGGTGACCGGAAACAATTTTTTCGAAAATTTTTACAACTTCAATATAACCGTTAACAACTTTTGTAACGCCATTAACAACTTCAATATAGTAATTAACAACAGGTTTTCTGATAAATTCAACAAATTCCGGCGACCGGAAACAATTTTTTTGAAAATTTTTACAATTTTACTATGACGATTAACAACTTTTTTAATGCGATTAACAACTTTAGTATAGCAATTAACAACAGCTTTTCTGGAAAATTCAACAAACTCCGGCGACCGGAAACAATTTTTTTGAAAATTTTTACAACTTCAATATAACGGTTAACAACTTTTGTAACCCTATTAACAACTTCAGTATAGCGGTTAACAACAGGTTTTTGAGTTTGTTAAAAGCATTACTGAAGTTATAAAAATGCCACTTTTTGAATTTTTCAAAAAACTTGTTGTTAACTGCTATATCAAAGTTGTTAACCGTTATATTGAAGTTGTAAAAATTTTCAAAAAAAACGTAATTGTTAACGTTATACTGAAGTTGAAAATTTTACAACTTCAATATAACGATTAACAATTTTTGTAATGCGATTAACAACTTCAGTATAGCAATTAACAACAGCTTTTCTGGGAAATTCAACAAACTCCGGCGACCGGAAATAATTTTTTTGAAAATTTTTACAACTTCAATATAGCGGTTAACAACTTTTGTAACTCTATTAACAACTTCAGTATAGCGGTTAACAACAGGTTTTTGAGTTTGTTAAAGGCATTACTGAAGTTATAAAAATGCCACTTTTTGAATTTAAAAACTTGTTGTTAACTGCTATATCAAAGTTGTTAACCGTTATATTGGAGTTGTAAAAATTTTAAAAAAAACGTAATTGTTAACGTTATACTGAAGTTGAAAATTTTTACAACTTCAATATAACGGTTAACAACTTTTATAATTATATTAACAACTTCAATATAGCAATTAACAACAAGTTTTCTAGGAAATTCAACAAGCTCCGGTGACTGGAAATAATTTTTTTTGAAAATTTTTACAACTTCAGTATAACGGTTAACAACTTTTGTAACGCTATTAATAACTTTAGTATATCAGTTAACAACAGATTTTTTTGAAAAATTATATAACTCAAAAACCTGTTGTTAACCGCTATACTGAAGTTGTTAATAGGGTTACAAAAGTTGTTAACCATTATATTGAAGTTGTAAAAATTTTCAAAAAAATTGTTTCCGGTCGCCGAAGTTTGTTGAATTTTCCAGAAAAACTGTTGTTAATTGCTATACTGAAGTTGTTAATAGCATTACAAAAGTTGTTAACCGTTATATTGAAGTTGTAAAAATTTTCAAAAAATTGTTTCCGGTCGCCGGAGTTTGTTGAATTTCCTAGAAAACCTGTTGTTAATTGTTATATTGAAGTTGTTAATGGCATTACAAAAGTTGTTAATGGTTATATTGAAGTTGTAAAAATTTTCAAAAAAATTGTTTCCGGTCGCCGGAGTTTGTTGAATTTCCCAGAAAACTGTTGTTAATTGCTATACTGAAGTTGTTAATAGCATTACAAAAGTTGTTAACCGTTATATTGAAGTTGTAAAAATTTTCAAAAAAATTGTTTCCGGTCGCCGGAGTTTGTTGAATTTCTCAGAAAAGCTGTTGTTAATTGCTATATTGAAGTTGTTAATAGCATTACAAAAGTTGTTAACCATTATATTGAAGTTGTAAAAATTTTCAAAAAAAAAATCCGACTGACGGAGCTCCGGTGACCAATTGTCGGCGGGTCACCGGAGCTCCGGTGACCGCCGCCGCCGGAGGTTCGGTGACCGGCCGGCCAGTAGGGGCTGTGATATTTTAAAAATAATATTTAAAATGAAGGGTAATTTGATCTTTTCCTTTCACATATTAATCCCAATTTGGTCTCATGGTACCAAAATGGGATTTCTCGAATTCAGCGGACGTTTTGGCTTCTGAAGTTAAAGGTGCATTTTTCTGTCTTTTTCCCTTAATATGAGTTAAGATAAGGATGGGAGATTTATTTATGTACCAGAATTTTGCAGCTCATTTATGAGTAGCAACGGGCAACGTCTCACCAAATTGCATATGGTTTATGGTTATTGGGATCACAGTCGCCGTCAACTTATGCCTGTCACCGCCATTTGCCATCCCTTCATAATTATTTCCTCTCCCCCTCCTGTCATCGTCTCCCCGTCGCCATTTGTCATCTGTTTTTCTTGGCTTCCGACACTTCACTTTCGCTCTCCTTTTCACTTTCCACGACCCC